CCAGGCACAGACAGAGGCACCTACACACCCTTTTCCAAGGGTTTGAGGAAGATAAAAAGCCGTCCCACCCTTACAGCTTAGGGCACCCCCCACGCCTCCAGGGTGAGGAGCACTCAGCAAAGCCCAAGTCATGTGTCCTCCTGCAGAAATCTGCCCTTTGCCCAAGCCCAGCTTTGTCCTTTGTTCTGGCTCCAAGCCACAATAAAGCCGGTTGTATAAACAAAGCAACCCAGCTCAGCTCGCCAGGTTAGCTTGAGCACCCCAAAAATCACAGCCTGGTGACTTCATTATGGCCATTACTGCATTAGCAAAGCTCGATTATTATTTCTTTTTTTGGTCCTTTAAAAAAAAAAAAAAATAATGAAATATTTAAACACAAGCCACTCTTCCCCACACCCATTCTTTTTTCCAGGAGAGCCAAACCATGAAGCACAAGTAAAATAAATACACCCCGAGCCAAGCTGCACCGCTCGCCCCTCCATCTTGCATTCACAGAAAGCACGAGATTCCTCCCCAATGAACGGAGCTGCACTGATTTTTTTTTTTTTTTTAATTTTTTTTTTTTTTAAGATGTTTTTTCTTCCTCAACCTGCAAACCCAGAGGTCTTGCACAAGACCTCAGCCACCGCCGCAGCAGCGGACACCCTGCGCTATGGAAATGCCTTGCCCTCACCCTCAACTTTTGCAACCCGGAGGGGAAAACAAAACAAAAAAAACCCAAAAATACAAGGAGGGAGCGATCTTTGCTGTCTCAGCACAGCCTTTAAGACCACGATATATATATAGATATATATGGACCACTGATATATTGCATGCCAAAAGGATGCGAGGCAGCTTTTTATCCTGCTCCATCTCCACGCCCCGGTGGCTGTGCATCACGGGATGTTCCCAGAAGCACTTCAGCCGGTGCCAAACCGACCTCCTTACCGTCAGCTGATGACATATGGGGTTTTTTTGTTTTGTTTTGTCTTTGTTTTTCCATCTTCGTGATGAAAACACGGTTTCCTCTCCCCTCCTCTGCCACTTAGTGGAGGGTTTACTGGTTTGCAGGCGCTCTAAGGGTTAATAGTCCTCCCCCCTCCCACAAACCTCCCCAGGAGCATCCCTCCTGGCCAAAAACACCCCCAAAAAACGCAGCTGGGGAACGGCGGGGAGACCCTGACT